GCACATTTTTGCTGATAGTACAACTGCAATAGCATTTAAAATGTCAGAAGCAGCTAATTTATTGGTGGTTCCATGATATTTTAATTTTGGAGCGGCGTCAGTAAATGTGTCCCGCAACCCAAAGGAGACGAGGAGCTCTGCGTGTTCTGACCCACAACATGCCGGCAGTAGAGCTGCTAACAGGAGACGACGAAACAGGTATGTTTTCAGTTTATCTAGCTCAGCAACGGTGGCCTGTGAAGCCCAAAAAGGTGCATGTTTAATGCAGTTGGTTTGGTTAGAGTCCGGTATATATTCACACCAGAAGCAAACTGAAGCGAACCGCACCAGAGTTCGTTTGGAAGCGGACCGAGACCACCTCAAAAAGCAGGTCTCGGTCCGGTTGTTTGATCCGCACCAGAGTTCGTTTGGAAGCGGACCGAGACCACCTCAAAAAGCAGGTCTCGGTCCGGTTATTTGATCTGCACCAGAGTTCGCATGAGTGTATTCACACCTGCACAAAAGGTCCGGACCAACGCTGGAAACGAACTCTGGTTCGTTTAAAGCGGAGCAAATTATCAGGTCTGAATACAACCTTAAATATCAAGAAACTGAATTAATGTTGTGCATATGGCTGCCACAATCAGTCAGATCACGAGTAGCTCTTACACTACTAAGAAATCATAGGAGGAATGTAGGCGTTTGTGGATGGCCTGGTTAAACCAGAATCTCCAAGGGAAAACTACGAGCAACGTTTGAGTTTGTTCTGCACATTTTGAGTCGTGTACTGTAATGTTTCTGTTTATTAGACAACACTGAATTTGTGCAATACACTAATCATTAGTTGACTATTTAGACAATGATAAGAATTCACACAAAGCCAATGCACACCCAAGTAATTAAGTCTAGGTGCCAAGGTCAATATTAATTTAGAAAACACCAAATAGTTCATGATGTCTGTGTAGGTCACTGCTGGCAGAACCTCCTTATCATCAAAACCTTATCTTCAGACAGTTTACTGAACTCGTAGGGATCTTGGCCTCAAATAATTAGATTTTTTAACTAAATACAGCTCTTTTGCTGGAGGCTCAAAATTATCCACATGCTTTTAGCAGTTTCTGCCTTCTTTGCAGAGGCTTTACTCCCAGGCAACACAATGAAGAAAAATAATAACTCGAGCTTCGACTGTTAGGTGTAACTTGTTTACAATACGGGTAGAGCTGCTACAAATGATTATTTTTTATAAAGGATTAATCACCGATTATTTTTTCGACTAGTCGACTAATCGA